AGTATTTGAAATATCAATATCTTCATTATTTGAATCTTGATTAATTAATGTAGTTGTTAAATCAAAAATTAAAGGTTTGATTGCTATATTGATTTCATTTGTAATTGTTTGTCGCATCTTTGTTACTGCCCATTCGCGTGGAAGATTATGACTAATAGCCACCAGAGTTCTATATGCTGAACGTGAAATTTTTTCAACATCTATCGCCTTAACAATAGCTTTGATTTGTAATTTTTCTGAATCATTCTCTAGTTGGTTGTAAATTATTTTAAACTGATTATCATTAATAGAGAATATTAATTCATTTAATGTTATTTTATCACTGTCACAAAATAGAGTTTCAGTATTATTTTGAAATTGGTTGTAAAGTGCCAATCCAAGTCTTTTGTTACGTGCACGTTGTCCTGATTCACTTAATTTGTCAAAAAGTTTTAATGTATGTATATGTTTTTTTTCACGTACTTCTTTAATTTGTTGTAGATGTAAACCAAATAATAAAACTCCAGACCATTTAGTAGTATTCTTTTTGGTTTTTTTTTTCGGATGTTCTTCAATTTGAGATATTTTGCATTTATTTATTTCCTTTTGATATGCATTAGCAGCACTTGATGGACTCTTATCAGACATTACAAAATCATTTAGACCATCTCCAAATCTAATAAAGTAATGTGGTTTGTTTTCAATATAATCTATTGAACAAGTTATAGTTGTATGTTTATTTTTTTTTCCATAATTTGTTTCTACTATATATTGATCTGGAACTTTGTATGAGTTGGGCTTTTTAGTCCATGCCAATATATTAGTAACTGGATATATGCCTTCAGATACTATAGTGTAAACTAAACTTCTATGTGAAGTTTTATAGCGTATAACTGGATTTTGAGGATAAGTATTTGTTTCATATTCGAAAGCCTTTTGTTCATCTCTTTCAACTTCGCATTGTGACATTATGTATAATGAAACTAAAATAATATGATTTATTACAGTTTTCAAAATAATATTGTCGAAGTTTTATGTAAATCAAGAATAGGGTCTGTAAGTATTAGCTAAAATATAGTACTGAGCACGGATATAAACTCTATTGCTATACCTTAATAGTACTATACCAGGCACTTGTAAACTCTAAATTCATTGTGTAAAATATCTTTTTATAGTATATTCTAGTTGAATCTAATTATATGTATATAATAGATTGCTATATATTTATTTTGGCTATACTAATTATCGTTATGTTATCGTTATTGTTTATTGTTACTCAATT